AGCAACCAAGCCAATATAGAAGTCTTACCTCTACCAAGGATGGGCAACTGCAGACTTAGCAGACTAACCAGACTAAACCTCTCTTTGCTCTCATTTTATATCTCCTCTAGTGCTGGGATTAAAGGTGCAAGGCTCCTCCATCCAGATTTGTTTCTGCATTTATCTTTGTAGCCCAGTGTGGCCTTGAACCTACAGAGGTCCATCTGCCTCTACCTCTCAAATCCCGAGATTAAATATTCCACCACTGCCTGACCTCTAGTAGCTTGGCTTTGCCGTTTTGAACTTTATGTAAGTTTTATTTATTAAAACACTAAACATCAGTATTGTGTAGGTTGCAAAATTTAGGAAAGCTTCAAAGAAGCCAAAAGAGACTGTTTAAACGAGCAGATACAAATAATAACACAGAAATACAAGATTCTTAAAAGTCAAGTGAAAAATGAGGTTACCAAAGCATCATAATTGCCACAATGATACAACTCAAAGATCGGAAATAGGTAAAATGCTGGTGAAGATTTAAAATAACATATGCATAAAATGGTAAATCACCACAACAGATACAAACAAACAATTTGTTCAGTCAAAGCTGTATGAAGGCAAGCTAGTTATACACAGGCAGGCATAAGCAAAATGGATAAAACAATCAGTTTTTTCTTTTTTTCTTTTTATTTATTTATTTATTTACTTACTTAAAATTTCCCCCTCCTCTGCGCCTCCCTTTTCCCTCCCCCTCCCCCTCCTTCTCCAGTCCTAGGAGCAGTCAGGCTTCCCTGCCCAGTGGGAAGTCCAAAGACCTACCCCCTCCATCCAGGTCTATGAAGGTGAGCATCCAAACAAACCAGGCTCCCACAAAGCCAGTCCATGCAGTAGAACCAAAGCCCAGTGCCGTTGTCCTTGACTTCTCAGTCAGCCTCCACCGTCAACCACATTCAGAGAGTCCGGTTTGAACACATGCTCCATCAGTCCCAGTTCAGCTGCATTTGGTGAGCTCCCATTAGATCAGTCCCACCGTCTCAGTGGGTGGAGACATCCCTCTTGGTCCTGACTTCCTTGCTCATGTTCTCCCTCCTTCTGCTTCTCATTTGGACCTTGGGAGCTCAGTCTAGTGCTCCAATGTGGGTCTCTGTCTCTATCTCCATCCGTCACCAGATGAAGGTTCTATGGTGATATGCAAGATATTTATCAGTGTGGCTATGGGACAAGGCCAGTTCAGGCACCCTCTCCTCTGCTGCCCATAAACCTATTTGGAGAAATCTCCTTGGACACCTGTGAACCCCTCTAGAAACAAGACTATAGCCAGCCCTAAAATGGCTTCCTTAATTAAGATATTTACTTCCCTGCTCCCATATCCGCCTTTTCTCCATCCCACCCATCCCATTTCCCCAAGCTCTCCCCAGTCCTCCCCTTCTCCCTTCTCTCTACCCATCTCCCCTGACACCCCCCCCCATGCACCCAACTTTTGCCTGGCAATCTTGTCTACTTCCAATATCCAGGAGAATAACTATATGATTTTCTTTGGGTTCACCTTCTTATTTAGCTTCTCTAGAATCACGAATTATAAGCTCAATGTCCTGTATTTATGGCTAGATTCCACTTACGAGTGAGTACATACCATATTTCTCTTTTTGGGTCTGGGTTATCTCACTCAGTAAAGCGTTTTCTATGTCCATCCATTTGCATGCAAAATTCAAGATGTCGTATGTCGGGTTTTTTTTTCCCCGCTGTGTAAAACTCTAAAGTGTATTTGTTCCACACCTTCTTTAACCATTCTACTATTGAGGGGCTCCTAGGTTGTTTCCAGGTTCTGGCTATTACAAATAGTGCTGCTATGAACATAGTTGAACAAATGCTTTTGTAGATATGGGAGCAAGGAAGTAGATACTTTAATTAAGGGAGCCATTTTAGGGTTGGCAAGAGACTTGATTCTAGAGGAGTTCCCAGGTGTCCAGGAGATGTCCCAAGCTTGTTCCTTGAGCAGCAAATGAATAGAAAGTATAACTAGAAGGAATGAATCCTAGTAGTCTATTGGTAAAGGGATCAGAGTTACCAATGCCATATTTCAATATTGCTAAATGATTTTTATTCATGTATCACAAAGAACTGGTAAATGGTTAAGATAGAAGATATGCGTATATGTACGTGTTCTTATGAGATTATCTAGATGAGGAGCTACTACTTCAAGCTCCTTCCACTTTGTCTTCCACATAATAATAGTTGTATGTGTGAACTGTGTTCCCAAACAATTTATATTCACTAGTAAGGGACAAAGATATCTCAGCTTGCTTTTGTAGGTATCTTATCATTTCAACAAAGAGAGAGAATCAACGACACATCCTCTTAAGTCCAGAAATGATCTCTTCACTGATACAGTTCTTCCCGGAGTCAGGGTTTGCAGCCATGATAAAGAGGACAACTGAATTCGGCATCATCATGGTATTCCCTCAATTCCCGAACTAAGAAGAAAGAAGAGCAGGATTATCTACAATCTCCTGGATTCAAATGAAGTCATATTAATGCATAAGCTGTTTGCTTTCTATCTCAGGTTTAAAGGACGACAGCCTTTACAAGGCACAAGGAGCCTTTAGAATTCATTTATATATCCTCCTCTTTCTACTGCTCTCCTCTTCCTGAGTCATAGACATCGGCAGTGCACCAGTCTTCACTTTTTCAGGGGTTTCTTTCATTCTCATTCAAGTCTATTTATTCAGAATGCTTTGTTGCTGGGGAGAAGTCTCATTGTTTAAGAGAACTCACTGGCTGCTATTCCAGAGAATGTAATTTTCATTCCCAACACTCACGTGGTGGCTCACAATGATTCATAATCTCAGGGAATCTGACTCCCTCTTCTGTCTTTCGTAGGCATCAGGCACATGTCCTGCATAGACATGCATGCAGCCCAAACACCCATAGACATAAAAAATGAAAATCAGAAAGTAGAGGCTCTCATCATTTCTATTTACTTTTCTACCACTGTGTCATCCATGGCTGTTAAAGTTGATGACTCACTAATGGGTTTATCTTAAGTGCACTTTGGGCCAGGAGGCAAAGAACCATCAGATGTGAAAGGCTGCTTCTCCAACCTCATTCTCTCACACAGACTCAGAGAATCTGCTCAGGTCTTCCTAAGAGAAGCATCATTTATGATTCTGGGCTCCTTAAGCAGGGCAAATTTTCTTTTTGGTTTTCACTCTGTATAAGGACCTCTTGTCTATATCTTGAATACAGTAATAAACTCTCATATCCAGAGTTACCATGTTGCTATTTTAACAAAGAACAATATGCTAATGCTGTCTTCTGAGTTAATGAAAATCTTCCTATATCTATATTTCTTGTCATGGCTATTGGGTAGCCACTGACACTCATCCAGACAATAAAAATTTATATGTGATGGAACAGAAGAGCAGAGTTCATCTTTGTACTATCTCACATTAGCATGATTCTAAGACTAACATTCCCTGGGCCTCCATCCACAGTGGTGTCCATGGAATAGGATACTGTATCCCATGATCTCAAGAACATCAACTTCAGACTCCCTGATTCCAAAGCTGGGAGCAAATAAATTACTATTGTTTTCACCCAGCAAGTTTATAGTCCATCTTTAATCACAGCCCACAGAATCTAGGGCTCCAAGACGTGCTGTGGAAACTTTGCAATCAACCAAGGATTGTAGGGTTTTTTTTCTATTATACATAATATAACATGGCTTAATGCTAATGTGTTAACATGCTAATTTGTTAACATATAAATAAGTTTGGATATCATTCACCATGGCCTCTTTTGTATGTAGTTGATTAATGATTCACATTTTTGAGAGGTTGTTTCCATATAGACTAAACTGGCCTAGAACTTGCTATGTACCCCAGCCTGGCCTCAAATACATAATGCTCCTGCTTCTGTCTTCCTAGTTCTGGGATTACAGACTTGAATTTTGACTCTTTTCCATGATATTTTATTTCTTTCTTTCTTTCTTTCTTTCTTTATTTATTTATCTGTTTTTTATACTTTATACATAATGCTCGATTTATAATTTTTTTCTTATATATGCTTTCAGCGACCACTAACCAGAACTCTACACATTTTCTGTGATTTCTGTGATTGACATTGATTTCCATTCATACTTAATCATTTTTTCCTTTGCATGGCAACAATCTCTGATGTTGAAGTTTATTGGTCTCTGTAAAACTGTTACCTGCTTTAGGACGGCTATGCCCTCCCTCTGGGAAAGTCTTTTCTTGTTCACTATGTCAGCAAAACCATCTTAACCCAGTTTCAATACTGCTAATTTCCAAATTATCCTAGAATATGAATTTCTGTAAAAAATGATCTTGGAAATGTTGACCTAAATCTATGACTTTCTTTCCCTTTCCATTCCCTTAATTTAGAGACCTCTTTCTGACTCCTGAAGTTGTAGGGAAGATACATGTTAGTTTCTGTTGAGTTTACCTTCTTCAAGATTAAAGTTCCTCTGATATTACATTTAAATTAATGTCCCCACGATGTCCATAGAGCTATTATGGGCTTCTCTTTGTATCTCTGTCCCATGTTTGGACTGGAAACTGGAGCCCAAATGTCTTAGGTACTGTTCATTGTCCTCAGTGTAAGATTTGCTTTGGAGATGGGAGGTAATGGAAAAAAAATAATACCACTTATTTCATTCTTTTGCATTTCTTTTTTCTTCCTTCCACTCTTCCTTCCATTTTTATTGTTTGTTTTTTATTCTATGTTATCAAATTTGTTGTTGCAATTTTTTAAACATATAATTTTCCTAGAATTGCCAATTTGAGATAGTTCTCCTAATGTTTCTGGACCTGATTTAAATATGTCTTGGATTTTAACAAAAGTTTCTGATAGAGAACCTAGTAGATTTTTATGGAAGAGCTGTAAGCCAGTGATTTCTCATGCTCTCTGTGACTGTATATTTGCTTGTTGATTGATACCAGTCATTCTCACACATACTGCCCAGGCATCTGCTTTGTATTGGCTGACTGCTTTGCATGGGCTCCTCCAGCCTAGCCAAGCTGCTTGGAGTTTATAAACCAGGCCCTTACAGTGAGAACTGAGCTGAATCAGACAGACAGAGGTCGTATGATGGAGTCACACACCTATGTCCTCATGTCTCTGTTTGTCTTGGTGTCTGGTGAGAAATTTCAAAGTATTATATTCTTTTCAGAATCACTTCTATGTACTTAAGAAATGTGTTACATGGTATATTACTTTCATGCAATAATACTCTGACAATATGAAACTACAAAGACATTAAATGCCAAATTTCATCTGTATTAAATTTTGTATTAATTATGTATGATCATTGTTATTCCTGATTGCAGGTGTGTGTGCAGATATCATGATGACCCAGTCTCCATCCTCCCTGGCTGTATCAGTAGGAGAGAAGGTTACCATCAGCTGCAGGTCCAGTCAGAGTCTTTTAAACATTGGAACCCAGAAGAATTACTTGAATTGGTACCAGCAGAAACCAGGGCAGTCTCCTAAATTGCTGATCTACTATGCCTACACTCGGGACACTGGGGTCCCTGATCGCTTCATAGGCAGTGGATCAGCAACAGATTTCACTCTTACCATTAACAGTGTCCAGGCTGAAGATCTGGCGGTTTATTACTGTCAGCAGGATTTCCTCTATTCCACGGTGCTTCAGCCCCCAACACAAACCTCCTTTGAGACTCTCACCAGCTGCCTGTATCCTGCACAGCCCTGACCTATACACTTCCCCTTTTTGTCTGAGAACCCAAACTTTCATGAAACACTTATGAAAATGTTTGTAGAGTCCAGCAAATTATAATGGGTTCAATGTCATTTATGTCTTTTGATTTGAAAAACCTTTATGCAAAAATGCAAAGGAGAACTCAACATTATCTTTCTAATCCTTTTGTAACATATTATCACAAAATCTGTTGCTTCAATATTAGGGGTTTGTCTTTTTATAGTTCTGGTGTTTCTGGTGTCTATCATAAGATTCTTTGAGCTGAAGCGATGATGATGACAAACAGTATTTCTGTTTAGAAGTTCTAGAAAAGGTGTTTCCAGGTTTTTCTAGATTCTTTCTTACTTACTTACTGGTACCCATTTCTTCTATTTTTCTTTTCCTTTCTGTAAATTCTTTTAATTTGTATTACATTTTCAATAATTACCTCTGTCTCTGCATACGTGTGTGCACATTTCTAAGTGCACATGTGACATAACATATTTGTGGAAGTCAGAGGACACTTGAATTTTTTTCTCTGTGTTCTTTGTGTCTGGGGATTAAGTTCTGGTTTGAAATCAGACTTGATGGCAAATGTCTTTGCCATATGATCCATCTTTCTGCTCCTTAAAATCTTTTTTTGATGGTAATTCATTTCACATGCTTTTCTTAAAGGTCATGTTTTTACAGTGTATCATATATTTTGACCACATGCACTTACCTTCCCCACTTTCCCATCTTTTTCTGGTTAATTTTTCTTCCCTAGTCCTTCTTCTACTTTTATCTCTGTCTCTGTCATACAGATGTACCCACACCCACTGACCCCACACGTACATATACTTACACACACATATATACGTATGTATATATGTATATATATATATATATATGTACTCACAAATGCATACATATCCCATACATACCCACCCACCCCACACAAACATGCAAGCACCTGCACTCATATGGAAATACACACATACACATGAACTTTACATACTTAGAATCTAAAAGGGCAGAAAAATGTAATATTTGTTGCGTTGATTCTGGGGCCATATCCTCTTCTAACGATTCTATATCTGATTTTCAGTTGTTGAGAATGAGAATAATCCTTTGTCTAATGATGGGTTGATATTGGACGTGCCAGAGGAGCAGTGGGTGGCAACTGAAGTTCCTTCCAGTTGTTAGGCTACCGGAAGGAAACTCTCTGATGAGCCCATCTTGTCTAGGCAAGTCCACAGGAATGCAGATCCCAGAATATGTTTTGCTTCTGCTGTGCCTTTACATATTTGCTGAAACTTTCTTTCTCTGGTATCTAGAATGGATATAGAGAGATCTCCACTCCCTGTAATATAGTGTGTTTATCTCTTAGAAACATCCCATTCTACTGTGCACTTTACCTGCAGATTATCAAGATTGCCCCTCCCTAGGCTGTAATGTTTGATTTGATAGCAGTAGTGATAGCCTATACAGAGTTTTGATGGATCCACATAAATACAAGCTAAGGCCCATGACTTCCACATTAATGACTGCTCAGGTTAATGAATAAAAGGAAACCACCTGAGTCCAAAAACTAGGGTTGCTCTAATTCTCTTAATCCTGAAAAGAGGAAATAATGTTTCATTAGCTAAAACAAAGTTTCAAAATACTTTCAGGTTAGATCAGATGCCTTGCTAATAATTTTATGGTAAATAACCCCAGAAAACAAGATAAAGTTCACAAGCACACATAGCTGAGCTCTCTGACTTATTGGGCTAGGGTCTAAAATACAAAATGGCCTGATTGTTGCCAGCTACCCTTACTAGGTCTAATTAATGACCAAAGGTGATGATTAATTCCTCACACCAATATTTGTCCTCAATATCCTGATATATAAAAATCTATTGATGAGTGGGTATGTACTTTAAAGATTTAAATTAGATCTGACTGATTCTTTTTCTTATATAAAAGTTTAGGTTTGTGATTTCTTTAAGACTCCTTATAAGATTACCTTTCAAGATAAGTAATAAAGTAATTGAACTTTTCTTTGTAACTTCACAATGCAACCTGCCAGTAAAAGACTTAACAAGAATATCTTACTTGTTCACACAGTTAATCTATTACAAGTTGCTTGGTTGTGAATGAATGCATGTGGATTCTTGGGAAATTTGTTTTTCACCTGTAATACATAAAATGTTTAATCATGTAAGGGAGATAAAAATATGTTTTTACCTGTATTCATTATAATCATTCACTTGAAAAACAAATGTAACCACACTGTAATTCTTATATTGCCTGAAAAACTTTGCTGGGGTATATAAACTGTAGGGGAAAAAGTATACAGTAGAAATAAGAACAAAAGAACTTAGATAGAACATGAGAGTGCAGAGAAAAAAAGAAGAGAGTCATCAAGATAGTGTGTGGATGTCTGTTTTCCTAAACCCCTTCAGATAGAAAAGTTTAAATTATTGACTCTGTGGATTCCTCTCAAAGCCCTGTGCTCCTGGAGATGGCCCCCACAGACAGCAATAAAGGATATAATTTTGTGTCAACAGATATAGCCTTTTCATATAACTTTTTATATCAATTAATAAAGGTTGATGTTTCTAGAGGTGATATTTTGTGCTCCTGTGTAAAAAATACACTAAGTAACCATGTCCAGATTCTGATTAGTAAACACCAAACTTGGAGATATGGCAGGGAGCAAGTTTGTTACAGACTACATGAAATTATTGGAGATCTCCTAATACTTTAAAGCTGAGTGATTCTGGGCAGTGAATTCTTGAGGGTAGGTTGCTGAATTTAGAAGAGACTCAAATAAACAAAAGAGGTACTTAAACCAACAGATACAAATAATAATACAGAAAAAAATAATTAAAAATCAAGTCAAAACATATATAACTCTATAAAAACCAATTTAAAAATAAAAAAGAGAAAAAATCAAGTAAAAAATGTTGTTCCCTAAAGATCATAATTTCCTCAATAAATCAAGTCAAAGATTTTAGGTAGGTAAAATGTTGAGTGAAGATTTTAAAATCATACTTATAAGATTATGGACCACCACAAAATATATAATCTCAAAATTTGTTCAGTTAAGGCTGTAGGGAAAAAACTAGTCATATATAGGCAAACATAAACAAGAAAAGTGAGTAAGGGAAAAAACATAATTGAAATTCTCAGAATTTAAATTTCTGTGAACCAAATACAACACACCAAACAAAAAACTCACTGACAGTCTCACTCAAACAGAGCAAAGAATATCCTGGATCAAGATTATAGTAGAAGGGACAGCATTGAAACATCATTGGTTTAAAAATTCATGAATGTAATATCATATATGATAAAGAGAACTATGCCAATAATCATAAGTTACAGAATAGTTGAGATGAAAACTAAAGATGTAGAAAATATGTTAATAACATGAGAACAGAAAATTTATATACATAGAAAAAAAGTAACAAACACAGAAAAACATTTAGTTTCCTTAATAGACAACACCAGAGAAGAATTTTCCCATGTCAGAGATTGTGTCTATAATGTAAAAAATACCAAGTAAAGAATCAGTGTCGAAAGACATAACAGAAAAATGCAAACTTAACTCCAAAGGACAAACATAACAGAATAATATCTGAACTCTCACTAGAAATCTCAAAAGCCAGAAAAGTATGGATCAATGTATTACAGGTCCTGACAGTAAGCAATTTTTAAGTAAGTTAGCTATGTAGTTAGCTATGTCCAGAAAAAAATGTGTTTTGGTGAAATAACGAGAATTAGGGAGAAATAAGGGCATTACAAGACAATCATAAACTAAACTATTTCATGACCATGAAGACAACACTCAGAAGATAGTATAAAAATACTGTGCACGTAGAGTGCTTCAATTATGAAAGCACAGACAAACTGTTGCTGTCGTGAGAGGAATAAATGAACAATGGCTATCAGGAAATGAGTCTAGTATGTCTAACACTTAAGTCAGAAAACTGTAATATAGCTGAGGAGTAGGTAAAAAGGAAAAAAAACAAATAAATAAGCAAGGAAACAAACAACAATATAATCCACCAACAATCTCAAAAAAATTATAGAAATTTATAAAACATTCTTTTTAAAGAAAACATATGATGATTAAGCTTTATTAAAATGTGCTTTTGACAGTTTTTCATAATATTAAGTTTATAGAAATCTGAAAAGGATCAATTATCTAAGCTAGAGAATTATTGGTATGTTTTTATTTTTTAACACAACCTTTTCTTATTTTATATCGCCATCCCTCTTCCTACTTCCTCCCCTACTCCCACCCCATTTCCCCCACCCCACCCGCATCCACTCCTCAGGGAGGTTAAGTCTTCTCATGGAAAGCCATCAAGGTCTGACACATTACTTTGAGGCAAGACAAGACCCTCCCTTTATATCTAGGTTGAGCAAGTATACCTCCAAAAAGAATGCATTCCAAGATGCCAGGTCAAGCACTGGGATTAAATACTGGCCCCACCGCCAGTGGCCCCACAGACTGCCCAAGCCTTACAACTGACTTTCACATTCAGTGGGCCTAGTTTTGTCTTATGTATTTTCCCCCACTAATAGTCCAGAGTCAGAGAGCTCAAGTTAGCTGTTTCTTTGGGTATCCCCGTCATGGTCTTGACCCCTTTGCTCACATTATTGCTCTCCCTCTCTTGAACTGGTCTCCAGAAGCTCAGTTCAGTGTTTAACTGTATATCTCTGCATCTGCTTCTATCAGTTGCTGGGTGAAGGTTCTATGATGACAATTAAGGTAGTCAACAATCTGAGTACAGGTGAATGCAAGTTCAGGCATCCTCTTCATAATTGCTGAGGATCCTATCTGAATTTTTTTCCTTGTGGATTCCTGCGAATTTCCCATGCCATGTTTCTCACCAGGACCTTAATCGTTCCGTCAATCAAGATTTCTCTTTCCTTTCTGTCTCTCTCTGTCCTTCCTCCATCTCTATCATCCCATTCCCTCATGTTCTCTTTCTCCCTCTCCTTTTCTTCTCCCCTCCCCTTACTCCCTCCTTTTTTTTACCTCACAAGCTCAATTTTCTCAGGAGAACTTATCTGTTTCCCCTTCCGAGGGGGGATCCATGTATGTAATTCTTAGGACTCTCCTTGTTATCTAGCTTCT